CGCGCACGATGATTCCAGGCAGGGCCCAAGGGCCCAGTGTCAGTTATACCTACCAATTACACGGCAGAGAAAGTCTCAATTTGTTGCTGTTCAGTCCTTAAGCCCTCTTTAGCCCTGACCAAGCTCCGCTCCGAACGGAGAGAGACCAGGCCTCCAGCTCAAGGCCTTCTGCTATAAATTAATAAAGCTGCTAAAACACTGTGTTGGTTTTGATGGTCTTTGCTCCTTTTGGCAAAGGATGCTGACCTTCTAATTTTGGTGGAGTCAGAGGAGGGTTCCTTTCAAAATAAATGTATTTAAGTAAAAAAACAAAAACCAGCCAAAGAAACAAAAAATCGAAGAATGGGAGAAGAAGGGCTGATTACAAAAAGGAGTAAGTAAGGCAGGTGCCAAAAATCATGAAGGGGAATCTGAGGGACAGAGGCGTCAGGCACAAGGACCCAAAATCACGATGCTGTAACCTGACGGATCAGCTTTCACAGAGCACTTCCGCGTTGTGACCTCACTGAACAGTCGTGGAAACCCCAGCCTGTGACAGCGTGGACTCCAGACCGGGACATAGAAGCCTGGGGTCTGGGGTCAGCCAGCTGGCATGGAGAGGGTGCCAGGACTCACTCGGGACCTTCAGGCCCACCGACCAGGGCTCTCGCTGCCCCAGCCCAGGCTGTCTTTCTTAACATCCGCCCTCATTCCAGCAGACGCTTGGCTACCAGACATCCAGGGACAGCCCTGACCACTGCTGGTGTGAACCTCACTCCCCTTCTGGGCCTCAGAGGATCCAGCTCTACCACGGGAGTCACAGTTACCAGAGCCCTCGATGATGTTAGTAGACCCCCACCCGATGTCCCTCTGCCCCTGGGATGCCGAACACGCAGTGGGAAAGCCACCAGCATGGGAAGCAACCTCCCAGTGACCTTCCAACTAGCAGAGGCCCTGGAAGGTCATCTCATGCCCTCTCGGACCTCCTTATATCACAGGAATGTGAGCTGAGACCACCCTTCACATGCTTTACCTAGTTAACATCCCCATTCTACAGATGAGGAGACTGAGGCCCAGAGAGATTAAGCTCAGAAGATCGCAGAGCCAGGATGTGGCAGAACCAGGATTTGAATCCAGGCCTTTCTGGCTCCATCCCCAATGCTCTGTCTATACCTTCTGCGGTGATACCTCCCTGTGTGACCCCAAACCAGGCCCCTGCCCCGTGCCCACCCCTGTTGGCTCACCTTGCAGGAACGCAAGATAATGATGCCCGAGTTCTTATAGTTCTTTTTCTTCCTTTGCTTCTTGGGGTTGATGCACTCGAACTCCAGCTGGGCAACATGGGAAGAGAAAGAAAAGCTCAGCTCAGCCCTTCCATGGCGACTGACCCTCCCCTGGGCCGCAGGATCCCCTCCACAGTGCCCCTTCCAGGAAGCCTTCCTGGATGCCCACTCCCAGAAAAGGTTCCTGACACTTCAGGCTCACACCAAGCTGTGCCTGCCCAAGGTAGGAGGATCTGCATTGCTCCCCACCCCAGATGACTCATCTATGTCATGTCCAGAACTATGTGTATGCCCAGAACCACCCCCCAGGGCCCAGCTTCTTGGGGGGAGTTAAATGGATAACTCTTGAGTGCTCCCCACATGCTGGGCACTTTACCTGTATCATCTCATTGAATTCCCACTCTCTTCCTCTGCCCCATTAGACAGATGGGGAAACTGAGGCTCAGAGGAACTGGATATTTTGCTTAAGAAGTCCTTCTTGATTTAAGGTCCTACAGCCAGAGAGGTGGGATCTGAGCCCTAGTCTGCCCAAGCCTGTGCCCCTCGCCCAGCCCCCGCTGAGGTTTCAGGGTCACACACACGTGGGCCCATCTCACCGGGACACCATCACGAGCCTCACACATCTGCGACACTGAGGTCTGGAACTCGCCGATGAAGTCATGGCCTCCGTCGTTGTCATAGTCGTAGCACATGACCTGGGATGGGTCCAGCGAGGTCACCTCAGAGCAGCCCCCAAGGACGTGCTCTCCAGCCTCTCAGCTGCCTTAGCAAACCCCATGTCTTCCTTTTGCTTATGCTTCCCCAAACCCTCCAGCATCTGCCTCGCTGGCCTGGGATGACACTGTTAGCTCCTGGACTGTCTCCTGCAGGAAGCCTTCCATGATTGCCGGCAAAAGGGGCACCCCAGCAATGGAGGCTATACACTCTGGAGCAGGAAGCTTAACTCCTTACACACCTGTCTCTCTCCGCTCCTCATCTGTCTGGGGCTGTGATCTACCTGTCTTCACAGGCCGTGGCCTGAGGCCCTCCCTAGACTCTTACTTTCCCTGACACAGGTACAAAAAAATCCCAGTTTTCCATGCTCTCTAATCTAGCCACCACTCCTAGGAGGAAGGCAGGAATCATCATACCCATGCCACCGACGGGTAAACTGAGGCTTCAAGAGAGAAGCACTTGCCCAAAGTCTCGCAGTGGCAGTAGTAGACCCAGAACTAGGTTTCCTAGTACTGTGTTTCAGAATCCCCGCCCTCGCCTTGCTGGCTTCCTCTCCCCCATCTCTCAGACATGGCCCCTGAGGGTTTTTAGAGACCAGTATTCATTGTCCTCATCAGTTGTCCACCTCAAAACACCACAGGGACAACACTTGGTCACCTTCAAGGTGTTTTCACAGTTGTTATCCCAGCTGGCAGCAACACAGCCCTCTGGGAAGAACCAGACAGCCATTCTGTTCCTGTTTTAGAGAAGGGCTCACAGAGACGGGAGCCTTGCCCAGATGGCTCAGAAGGTCAGGCAGACCCGAGATGAGAGCCCAGGTCCCCTGTCTCTCCCCCTATATAGGTTCTCCTTTCTACCTTGATAAGAAAGAGCTTTGGGGGCCCCTGGGGGGCTCAGTCAGTTAAACATCCATCTCTTGATTTCAGCTCAGGTCATGATCTTGTGGGATTGAGCCCACACTGACAGTGCACAGCCTGCTTGGGATTCTCTCTCTCCCCCTCTCTCTCTGACCTTCCCCTGCTTGTGCTCTCTCTCTCTCTCAAAAATAAATAAATAAACTTAAAAAAATCCTAAGTTAAGAAAGAAACAAGAAAGAAAGAAAGAAAGAAAGAAAGAAAGAAAGAAAGAAAGAAAGAAAGGAAGGGAGGGAGAAAGGAAGGAAGGAAGAAAAAGAAAAGAAAAGAAAAAAGAAAAGAAAAGAAAAGAAAAGAAAAGAAAAGAAAAGAAAAGAAAAGAAAAGAAAAAAGAAAAGAAAAGAAAAGAAAAGAAAAGAAAAGAAAAGAAAAGAAAAGGAAAGAAAAGAAAAGAGCTTTGCCAAGGCATCCCCAGAAAGCCTCAGATAGACTGGGAGGCTGGAGCTGGCAGGGTGGAGTGCAGGGCTCCCAGCGTCCCCTCACCTGGATGAGCTTCTCCATGTCCCCATCACACAGGGACACCAATGGCACAGTGAATGGTTTCCACACAGGGTCCAGCGTGTACTTGATCACCTGCAGGACGTGAGGGCCAAGGGTGAACTCAGGCCCAGGGCAGCAGTGCTCTGGGGTGGGACCCGATGGGGATGGGGGTGGGGAGACCCACAACCATGCTTCTGGGGATGGAAGTGAGGATCTCTGTGGCAGGGAGGGAACAAATCCTTTGGGCACGGTTGTGGCCTTTCCTGCTCCCTGCATGGCTGCGACCACACAGCCCCATCCTGAGACACTGGGGGTGGCCAGACTAGAGACCCACTGGCTTAGAGACCCCCAGAATCCCATGCACCCACCTCAGTCCTGTGAACCAGCATCCACTTGCCATCATCTCCCGGTTTATAAAACTCAAGAAATGGGTCTGACTTTCCAAAGAGGTCCTGGAGGAGGCAGGAGGATGTGGGTGAGGGAGGCACGACTCTGGCGGATTCAGATGAGAGGTGGGGTGGCCCAGCCGCTGCCCCCAACCCAGGCTCAGGTGCGGGAGCAGTGGGCAGAGCCAGTGGCCTGG